ATATACTGCTTTCTGCTTCTCTGTCCATCCATTCATTTCTGCCAGGAGCTCAAATTGTGTTCTATATGCTTCCCACAGTGCCTTCCCATCGAATTTCTGTGGCTTCCTTCATATTAGATCACCCCTATTGCTGACATTCATATCTGGGATGTGACTTCTAACAGGACTGAAGATGTCTGCATTAGGGTTTAGCTGCAGGGTCTGGAAGGGGCTTCACATTGTCTGGGGCTGATTAAGTCAATGGTTAATGTATCCTCCTTGTGTAAAATACAATAGATCATCCTTTAATGTATTTAATTCGCTTTGAAATTTACTAATGTTTTCCATTTGTACTTCTTGCCACTGTTGTTGACTTTCCTGCAACTGTTGGAGACTTTCTTCCTGTTTCCTTTCTTGTTCTAGTTGCCACTGCTGTAATCTCTCTTCTTGTTTCTTTTTCCTACAACTGCTGTAATCTCTCTGCTTGTTTCTTTTCTTTTTCCCCCAACAACTGCTGTAATCTCTCTTCTTGTTTATTTTCTTTTTCCTCCAACAATTGCTGTAATCTCTCTTCTTGTTTCTTTTCTTTTTCCTCCAACAACTGTTGTAATCTCTCTTCTTGTTTATTTTGTTGTTCGAGCTGCCACTGTTACAGGTTTTCTTGCAACTGCTGTTGTCTCTCTTCTTGTTTCTTTTCTCGTTCTTCTTGTTTCTTTTGCTGTTATTGTATGGCTGCCATCAAATCTGCTAAGCTGTAGTTTGATTTTCCGCCTCTCATTTCCACCTTCTTTTTTTTTTTCTTTTCTGTCCCACTCTCTGACACCAATTTGTTACGTATCTGGTCGTTAGTTAATTTCCCGTAAAAATTCTTTCCGAAGAAACTTTACCGATACAAGTCCTTTCTTAAATAAAACTGGTTTATTCTTTCTGAATACAAGTTTGCAATACACTTAATTTCCACAGTCACACTATAACAAATGATATAATTCACAATGAACGACTCACATGCTTGACTCAGCAGTACGTCTCTCTCTCTGTCTGTAGTTCAATTACCTTGTTGCCGTCACTTCTTGGCAGCTTATATACAAGAATACCGCATATCTAGTAACCTCTCGAGGCTTCAACAAGGGACATGAACGTTCTAGAAGCGCAAGATGTGTTACTAGCATCACGTGACCTCCGCTGTCGTAACAGTATTTAAAATTTTCGGAGTGAAAAGGAAGTTTGAGAAATGTATAATAAAAACAATTATTTGGATGACTAGGAAAAATATCAGATTGTTAAAAAAAGATTTGGAATATGAGTTAACACTATTTATTATATAAAAGTATGAGAAAAACTTTTAAAGAGACACATTCAAAATAAGCTGAAATGCTTTATTATTCCATATTAGTTATTACTACTATTAGAACCAGGACTAGGAGCATCAGTTCAGGGCTGAATTTGAAATGAAATACATGTAATGGGAGTAACCGAAGTTTGGTAACATTTGGAGAGATTTCATGCTATTAGGAATTATTTTGACATTCCAGATTATAAGTTATTTA